GTCAGAATAGAACTGTGCTCCAAAGGGTTTTCAATGATTGATTTTTTGGAAGCGGGTCACCAAGACTTTCTTCTGAGGTGCCTCTCAGTGGACTCAAACCTCCAACCTTTCGGTTGGCAGCCTAGCATGTTCACTCTTTGTACTACCCAGGGTCTCCATACCCTCCCCTAAAAGTACTAAAAGAATTGCTTCTAGTGAACTCTTTGGTGAGATGAAATCAGCCTTCAGTGAGAACAGGCAACTGAGGACAATGTAAGGAAGCATCTCACGAAACTTGTCTCTGGCTGTGTTTAGTCACTTCAGCCAGGATGTTCTATGAAATCCCAGGGCAAAATTTCTCTTTAGTCTCAGCACTGGGAAGGCTGGAAGTCATCATCATCTCAAGCAAAGAAGTCATTTTTATTCAATAGGGACTGAATTTTCTGCGTGGTAGTGTTTTCCTCTTCAGATTGGCTGCTAGAAAGCTTTAGAACCATGTGGCATACATTGTCCATATTAACCTCACCCCTGGCTTTAGTTTGATTTTTGTCTTCATTTTCTCTTGCCCTTATGTTTTAATTTCTTGTTTTTAGTTTATTTTATCTTGCTAAAGTGTATGTATCTTTACCACTGTTGTTAGCTGCTGTTGAATCGGCCCCTGACTCATGGCGACCCCATGAACAACTGAGCAAAATGCTGCCTGGTCCTGTGCCATCCCCATGAAAGGTTACAAATCAGACCATTGTGATTCATAGGGTTTTCATTGGCTGATTTTTCAGAATCACCAGGCCTTTCTTCCTAGTCTGTTTTAGTCTGGAAGCTCCACTGAAACCTGTTCAGCCTCATGGCAACACATAAGCCTCTGTTAAAAGATGGGTGGTGTGTCTTTATAAGCTGCCCTAAATCCTTTGATGATTAAAACCAAGGGTAAAGTATCCACGAGCTATATGTTCTGCTCACCTAATAATGGTAATTTGGCTTTTCATGGAGAATTTTCTAGAAAAAGATAATGTGCTGGCCAGAGAACTCAAGGATCTCGCCTGGCAGATTGAGTTCTTACTGTATCTGAACATATTGATGCTTGAGTTCATATTAGAGTTTCTTGTGAACTTGGTGTGTGTCCATGTCTGTGAATTCTCATCTTGTACTGTTCTCACTCTATGACCGTACTCCAGACATATCAATCTTCTTTCACTTCCTTGAACGTGCCAAGCTCTTTCCCACCCCAATGCCTTTGCACATATTGCCTCTGCTTGGAATGTCCTTCTTCCGGCTCTCCCTAGGCTGCCTCCTTCTTATTCTTTAGGGTGGTGGCTGGCTATACATTATAATAATTGGGGGAGTTTAAAATAATATTGATACTCAGACCCCAGCTTAGACCAATTAAATCTCTGGAGGTGGAACCCAGGCACTGGTATATTTTTGCGGGGAGGACAGGGTAGGCACTGGTATATTTTTTGGGCTGGGGACAGAGTTCAGAAAGACAATAATTTTTATTGTTGTTTTAAAATTGATCAGGTTTGATTCTCTGACCAGTTAGAAACATGTTTTACCTTTGTAGAACTCAATGGGAATTACCGCATTGTTGTTTAAATTTTTTCCCACAAGGGAAGACAGAAGGCAACTGAATCTTTAGAAGACAACTTATTGTAATGATGTTTCTGTGGATATTGCAATAGATTTTTATCATTGCTTTATAGATATTTTTTGTTTGTTTTATTTTGGGAGATACATGTATATATAGTTCTTGTTAGCGACTCATAGCGACCCTATGTACGACAGAATGAAACATTGCCTGGTCCTGTGCCATCCTCACAATCGTTATGCTTAAGCCCGTTGTTGCAGCCACTGTGTCAATCCATCTTGTTGAGGGTCTTCCTCTTTTTCCCTGACCTTCTACTTTACCAAGCATGATGTCCTTCTCCAGGGACTGGTCCCTCCTGATAACATGTCCAAAGTACATGATATGAAGTCTTACCATCTTTGCTTCAAAGGAGCATTTGTATATATATAAAACAAAACACTTGCCAATTCAACATTTTTTACACGTACAATTCAGTGATAATGATTACATTCATCATGTTGTGCAACCATCACCACTATTGGTTTTCAAATTATTCTATCACCATTAACAGAAACTCAGCAGGATTGGTATTTTTTAAAACCTTCTCAGATGATTCTAGTTTTCAGCCAGGGATGAGAACCACAGTTTTAGGTGTCAGCTTAAGTGTCAGCTGTTCGAAGAGACCCTCCTTGGCCACCTCTAGGAAGTAGATCTTGTCTTTTCTAGCTCAGCCCCTTCTTTGATTCTCGGTGCAATACTTACCACAACTTGTGATTATTGCATTTAATTGGATGTTTTCTGTTTGTCTCCCCTGCTAAGATTTAGGTGCTGCGAGGACAGGGATTATGTCTGTCTTTTTCTTTGTGCTTGTCTACAGTACACAGTGTTAGGCAAATAACAGGATTCTGGGTCTTCAAGGATGAGGAATTCACCAAGTTGTTGAATACTGGCCTGTGGGGCCTACTGGAAGGCAGCCAAGCTTCTCTACACTATTATGAGATAATTCACGTCAAATTTCAATGTCTACTTTAGCTTGCAAAATGGTTGCACACACTCTCCTTTTTACCTGACTCTGGAGCCCTGGTGGCAAAGTGGTTAAGAGCTCAGACTGCTAACCAAAAGGTTGGCAGTTTGAATCTACCACCCGCTCCTTGGAAACCCTCTGGGGCTCTGTCCTACAGGGTCACTGTGAGTTGGAATCGACTTGACAGCACACAACAACAGCAACAACTGGTGTCCCAGAGGAGTCCTTGGGTGGCACAGATGGTGAAGTGCTTGGCTGCTAACTGAAAGGCTGGCAGCTGAACCCACCGAGAGACCCCTCAGAAGAAAGGCCTGGCGATTTGCTTCTGACAGGTCACAGCCACGAGAACCCTATGGAGCAGTTCTCCTCTAACATGGACGGGGTCGTCGTGAGTCAGAATTGACTCCGTGGCAGCTGGTTGTTGTCGTTGTTGTTTTTGATGTCCCAGGACTCTTTGTGGGAGGTCTGGGACTTCAACAGATCCCAACCCACAGCATCTCCTTTATGTTCTTGTCTCTCTCCTTCACTTGACTTTGACCGTAATAAGAGATTCCATCTTGTACATCTTTATGTTCCCCACCTCCGCCCCAGAACCCACCACTGTGACTTGCACATAATAGGTACTCTATAAATGTTTGTGGACCTGAATGTGATCGACTTTATCCTTATGGCACATAGGTATGCTGACCAAGATATCACCCTGGGCAGTAGCACTGATTATTATTCTGGGATCTTAGGCACAAGGAGTAAGATCATATCATGAAAGTTAAATCTGTGGGTTTAGGCAACACAGCTATCGTCTAAATAGTTGCAGATGGTCTGTACACCTGGATTGCTCAGAAGAACGAAACAAGTAAATTTGTCTTTTTAGGCAAATAATGAAACTCTGAGGAGTCTGAAACAAGTCATAGTGAAGTATCTTACAACACAGGTGCCCATAAAAGCGTGAATGCATGATGGGGCTGCTTGAGTTCTCCATGTGGCTGATTATGTTCTTTCCAAATTATTATTTAGTAATTATTAATAAACCAAACCAAAACGACGCCCCTACGGTTTTCCCTCCATAGTGTGATCACTAAGCTGAAGGGTAAGTTCTAAGGTGTTTTTTCTCCCTAAGCTTAAATTAATCAAGACCAATTAGTGAAGTCTTGTGTAGGTGATTTGCTGGTGGAAAATGGGGGAGGAGAGTGAGGAAAATGGCCCAGGGGGCTGGGGGCCGGATAAATTAAACACAAACCCAGCCATGCAGCAAAGGCCTTCTTTTGCCTCTTATCTGGGGAAGTTTCATATTCTCATGGAGAGAAACATGCACACATGTACACACACACTTACATCCCTAAACTCACATAAATGAAACCCCCACTGCGGAGAAACCAGCTACAGGAAATTGACTTCAGCACAGGAACTTGCTAATCTCTTTTGTCACATTGGATTCTTCTTGCTGCCCCAGACACCATGCACGCTAACCCAATATCTTGGGTTGGATTATTTACCAGTCCAACTCTTATTTTTTAGCTCTTCAAATGTCAATCGGTTGTATTCTTAGGGAGTGGGTAAATATTGATACTAGAAGGAAATCACAAAGGTGAAAGGGCCCAGGTTGCTTTTGTTTTTACCCACCTTCTCTGAACAAATTTGACTTCCGGAGTCAGTCATTTTGGTGTCAACAAATTTCTTTGGCATTCCACAACAGGTAAGACTTTTGCTTCTTTTAAAGTATTTCTTCAGTATCAAAGGGACACTTTCTAATTTTTTGTAGCTTTACTCTAGGCTACCCTCTTCTATCTGTTGTAAATTATGAAACCAACTAATAGGGGTGGGGTGTCTTAGTTATCTAGATTTGCTATAACAAATACCACAAGTGGAGGGCTTTAACAGAAGTTTATTCTCTCACAGTCTAGGAGGCTAGAAGTCTGAACTCAGGGCGCCAGCTTCAGAGGACTGAGCCATTCTCTCTCAGTCAGCTCTAGGGGAAGATCCTTGTCATCAGTCTTCCCCTGGTCTAGGAGTTTCTCAGTGCAAGGGCCCCAAGTCCAAAGAACACAGTCTGCTCCCAGCTCTGCATTCTTGATGGTAGGAGGTCTGCCTATCTCTCTGCTTGCTTCTCTCTTTTATATCTCAAAAGAGATTGACTCAAAATACAACCTAATCTTGAAGATTGAATCCTTCCTCATTAACATAACTGCCTCTAATTCTGCCTCATTAACATCATAGAGTGGGATTTGACAACACATAGGAAAATCACATCAGATGACAAAATGGTGGACAATCACACAATTCTGGGCATCATGGCCTAGCCAAGTTGACATACATTTTTGGGGGATACAATTCAATCCATTACAGGGGGGGTGTTCTGATATCTACCCCCAACAAAGTCTGAGCAAGGAGCATGTAGTTCTTGAAGCATTGAAAGTTATAATAGTTGGCTTTTTGGTTTTCTAGATATTCTCCTAGAGAATTCATATGCTTGTGACTGACTATAACTGAGCTCAGATACATGAGTAGTGTAAATATCACACAATGCTTGATTAAAGAAAGTTAAAGATGCTCTAAATTTTGCAAATATGAATTTAAAAATTTTCTAGTTTAGAAAAGAAACAGTACCAAAATCCAAATGATGTAGATTTGGATCAGAAGTTCCTAGCTTGTTTCATCTGTTGCCAGCACTAATGTCCTCTTACTAGAAGTGATATATGATGTATAAGTATATATTTTAAAATTAAATTTAGTTTTATGAGAAGGTTGAATTTGGGGACATACTAATAAGTAGTCTAGGTTGTAACTAAATAAAGTTTGGGAAATCACTAGTTTTAGGTGCTTTACGAAATTAAAGCTGCCATTGAAGCATTCAAGCAAGCAACAAGTAGTTGATTATTGCTTATTGATGAGACTCTAAGATGGTGCTGTGGAAGATATACAAGAAATATAAAGACATCTCTACCTGGAAGGACTTGTTATCTAGTAGTCATGGTAAGAAGTAAATTTAGGAAGCAGCACAAGGTGGGACTTAAGTGATGAATGGGTGACATAAGCTTTAAGAGTTACAAGAGTTCTGAGAAGGGGACTTAGGGTGAACTAGTCAGGAAGGCCTGGGCCTGGACGGATGTGAGGTTTAAATAGATGGGGAAGGGGAAGTTGAGTTCAGACTGGGAGGATGTGTGGGCAAAAGCACAAAGATGAGATTGACTGCAGCTGAGTAGCCTACTTCAGGAGACCGCTCCAAGAAGAGAGGAAAATTTGTTTTATGAATTTTCAGGCGGTAAGTTTGGAAAGTTAGTGTGTGGACGGGTCATAGAGAACTTTGAGGGGCCACTGAGGAGAATGGGCTCCATTTAATGGTTTTCTAATCTTCTTATACCATTAGACTCCTTTTCAGCTTTCACAGCTGTGATGGGGAGTCTGGCGATCTTTGCACCTTCATTCTTGGGGCTCCTTTAGGCATCTCCACATCTGTGGTCTCCCACTTGCCCTTCACTGTCTTCCCTTACCAGTTGCTGTAGAGTTGATCCTGACCCACGTGTGTCGGAGTAGAACTGTGCTCCATAGGGTTTTCAATGGCTGATTTTTCAGAAGTAGAACTCCAGGCCATTCTTCCAAGATGCCTCCAGGTGTACTCAAACCTCCAACCGTTAGCCGCTGAGCATGTTAACCGTTTGCACCACCCAGGCGCTTCTGTCTTCCCTTAGTACACCGTTTATGCAGAGAAGTGTTTGTGTGACTTGGGATACTAGTCAGAAGAACTCCGTTTGTGGTTACTACGTTTTAAGGAGGCCCTTCAATCATCTGGTAATTAAAGTTGCCTTCCTCTTGGGAAGATGAGTTGGTTGACAGATTACAAGCAAGTCTCTATTCCTAAAAGCTAATTCAAAAATTTCATGAAATATGTTACTTTCTTTGCATGCCTGAATGAGATATTATGGATATGCTGCTGCTGCTTTCTGTGGTCTTTCCTCTAGGGAGTCTGTATATTATAATAATTTAGAGTCCTTTTTTTCTGGATCATGACATGTTGGCATCCATATAACAAACAAACAATATGATAGGTAAGAACCTAGACTTTAAAGCCAGATTACCTTGTGTTGAATCCTGGTTCTATTGCTTCTGAGCTATGGGAACCTTGGACAAGTTACTTAACTTCTCACTCCTTGGATTTAAAAAAAATCTGTAATGTAGCTGTAATGATAACAACAGTAATAATATCTGAAAATACCTACCTCAGAAGTTAGGAATAAAATAGGATAAAAATATCTAAAGCATTTAGCCTAAAGGCCTAGCATAAAATGAACTCTCAATAAATGTAGCTACTATGATTCTTATTAAGAATTTAGCCGTGGATACAAACATAAAAACGATATGATTCCTTCCTTGGGAGTAAGATAATCTGTAAACTAACTTTTTTATGACAATTTTTCTTTTAAAGTGGGGGTGACAGGTGAAGGTTGGGAGTTAACATTTTTCAAGCACTGATTATGGACCAGCCATGAGGTTTGAGTGTTTTATAGCGATACTGCATGTGAAAGAAGGGAAGGAAGATTAGAAACTGTTCTTTCAAGCCTTTCCGTACCAGTTTGTCAGGCTTATAGGCGAACTCTTCCGAGTACCTGTATCTGTGGTTGCTGTTGCTCTCTGAACGCTTTGCGTGGAATTATAGAGGTGTTTGGAATTAGAGGCAGAGAGACTCTTCCTCCTTGGCTACTTAACTGAAATAATTTAATTCTATGATTTTTTTTTTTTCAATGCTAGCAAGGCGCAGCTAAAAATCCATTTCTATTCAGGAGTTTAATTTTGATGACGGGTGCCCAAAATGCTTTATTTGGGTTCTCGATGCATGGGCGTGGGTGAAAGCCAAGACTAAAAGCATCCTGTTTCTCTGTTCTACTCTCTGGATTGAAGATTGTTTTGTGTTAGTAAATCGCCGTTTAAAAACACAAATACTGCTGGTGTGTTAATTATGCAAGGGATTCTCAATTATGTGTACAGATGAGTCAGATAATAAAATTGTTTTCCTTCTAGAAAACCAAAAACCAAACCCGTTGCTTTCAAGTTGATTCTGACTCGTGGCGAACCCCTGTGTTACTGAACAGAACTGTGCTCCATAGGGTTTTCTTGGCTGTGACTTTTCGGAAGCAGATCTTCGGGCCTTTTTTTTCTGTGGCGCTGCTGGGTGATTTCAAACTGCCAATCTTTTGGTTAGCAGCTGAGTACAAATCATTTGTGCCACCCAGGGACTTTTCCTTCTAGAGCCCCACTGATATAATAGGGAAGGAAAATTTGGGCCTTTGTGTATGAAAAAGGGTGGGTACAAATCAGGATGGGGTGTCAAAGTGGGGGCTAAAAGGCAGCACGACGGTATTGGGTGCTGGGGAGGCAGTGAGAGCAAGGAGGGCGTATCAGAGACGGAAATGATGAATAAAGGGAGGTGGAAGGGTGTCAGATACATATGGCTCCTCCTTCTTGGCTATTTAGTCATTTTGACCCTAGCAGCTGCTTAAATACCTGAGCAACTTCTTGATGCCTTGCACATGAAGTTGTCACACTCTTCTCTGGATATGGACAATTGTTCAGAGAAGATGTTGATTTGTCTGGTTCTGGCCTGGAAGAGTGGTTCCTAAACTGGCTGGACATCAAAACCACTTGGGGATCTTTTAAAAATAAGAATTCTCATGTATCCCACCCCAGCCTTGGAATGGGGTCCAGGAATCTGAGGGATAAAAAACACGTTCCTCGGTCTCTCCCTTCCCCACACCCCAAGTGATTTCGAGGCAGCTGTTCTGCAGGTGGGCGTTTGGGAGCCATTCATTCAGAATTCTCCTGTCAGGGTCCCAAGGACCGAAATGATAAGTTGAGCAAGTGCTGAAATGAGACAAACTGATCCTCTTTCTATTGTGATTTATATAAGCACGCAGAAAATGTTTTCCCTCTTTTAAATTTATTCCTTAGCTTGAATTCCTGAAAGTGGAATTACTGAGTCAAGGATGTGAACATGCTTGTGGTTTTTGCCAACCATATTTACATTTTAACGTGCAAATGTAGGACTCCATTTCTTTAAAAACCCTGAAGTGTTTTATTCTAGAAAAGCTATTTGTTATTACTCAGGGAAAACCCGTAGAAAGGGATTTGCTTTCAGGAAGAAAGTTCCAAATCACTTTCCCGTTCCTCTTTTCCATTAAAATAGTATATTGACGAATTACTTTTGAAGATTTCAGAGCATGACTGAATGCTCAATGGATTCTTAGAGCATAAGTTGGAGACTTCTTATCTCTCTACTTAGTTATTGTAAAACTGAAGTCAGCACTGACCTCTTCCCCATTTCGTAGAAAAGAAAACCAAAGAAGAGAGTGGTTAAGTAACATGCAGTATGGTTCTCATCACATTTGCCGTGGCAACTGCTTATAGGCATCCATTCAGTCCAGTGCTTGAGCAAGTAAATGATTTAGTAGTTTGTATAGGTGACCTCATGGAAAAACAGCAGTAAAATGTATCATAATTATGATAGTTATGAGAATGTATTTGATAAGCTGATAAGTTAAAAAAGCAGGTTTCCAAATTTCACTTACATTCTGATTTCATTATGAATGAGGATTAAATGCGAGCATAAAAAAGTGGAAGCATTCACCCAAGGAGAGTATTGTCCAAATTGGGGGTGAGTGGGCAGAATTAATTGACCCAGATAGGAGACAGATCTCCCACTCTATCCTTCTTTTTCCCATTATATTCTAATCTGCTAAACTAAAAGCATAGTTACTGTTGGTGGCACACAGATGGGAATAAAGTACATTTTCAATGGCTTCAGTGAAAAAAGAAGATGTGCACCTGCAAAATATCAGGTGAGCTATCTGCAGTGGTGTGCTGGAGCCAGCCTATATTCTTTTGTAAAAGCTGATTGTAGTATATTCAGAAATTTTGCAAGTCAGTTGTTAAACACCAAAAAGACAAAAACAATAAAAAGCTGTTATCTCTGAGTCGATTCCGACTCATAGCGACCCTCTAGGACAGAGTAGAACTGCCTGCCCCACAGGGTTTCCAAGGATTGGCGGGTGGGTTCCAACTGCCGGCCTTTTGGTTAGCAGCTGTAGCTCTTAACCACTGCACCACCATTAACAATTGAATTATATAAACCTATAATGAAATAAATTGTATTAAAAACAAAGGTAACAAATATTCAAAACTGATCATTTCCCAACTATTGACTATGTTTTGCCATTATCTATGATCTTGAAGTTATTTACTTCTATTAATCGCTATGATGGAAATAGTATGTAACAAGCATCTCTTTCCAACTCTGTGTTCAGTGATGCCATGTTACTAGCTTGAAATTGGCCATGGTGGGAGTGTTTACACCATGGAAATCAGCAAACACTATAAATCAGGCTCACCCTTTATTTTGGAGATCCTGTTGTTTACCATTTACTAGCACACCACTGAAGAACTGTATAAAATGCTACAGTTTTAAAATGCATTGGCTAATTTTCAAAAGTAGATAGCCAGATGTTTTTTCCTGTAAAATAGCAAATATGAAAATTTGGCAATGTGTATGAAGAGCCACTAAAATGCTTATATACAGCGGAATGAAACATTGCCCTTCCTGCACCATCTTCACGATCATTGGTATGCTTCAGTACATTGTTGCGGCCACTGTGTATTTCGAGTGCCTTCCAAACTAGGAGGCTCATCTTCCAGCACTATATCAGACAATATTCTGTTACGATTCGTAGAGTTTTTGTTGGTTAATTTTCAGAAGTAGATTGCCTGAGCTCTCTTCCTAGTCTGTCTTCATCTGGAAGCTTTGCTGAAACCTGTCCACCATGTGTGACCCTGCTGATGTTTGAAATACCAGTGTCTTAGTCGTCTAGTGCTGCCATAACAGAAATACCACAAGTGGATGGTTTTAATGAAGAGAAGTTTATTTCCTCACAGTCAAAGTAGGCTAAAAGTCCAAATTCAGGGCTTCAGCTCCAGGGGAAGGCTTTGTCTCTCTGTCGGCCTTCTTCTCTTCAGTGTTCCCCCGGACTAGGCGCTTCCCTGCGCAGGGACCCCAGTCCACAGGACGCGCACTACTCCTGGCACTGCTTTCTTGATGGTATGAGGTCCCCCTGTCTCACTGCTCACTTCTGTCCTTTATATCTCCAGAGATTGCCTCAGGACACAATCCAGTCTTATAGATCAGGTCCTGCCTTACTAACACAACTGCCACCCATCCTCCCTCATTAACATCATAGAGGCAGGTTTACAACATACAGGAAAATCACACAGTACCAG